ACACACACGGAGACGAGAGGAGCAAACAGATCTCACAAATACCAACACACACCACAAACACGAGAGACAAAAGCCTACACACACACACACCCATACACACAAACACAGGAACAGACAACAAGCTCAAACCCACACCCACACACACGCAGGAGGACAAACAGTCTCTGCTCTCTCACACACACACACCCAATCACACACAACACCAGACAGACGTAAGCAGTCTTCACACCCACGCCCACACACACGAGAGACAACACGTATCACCACACACACTAACAGGGGGGGGGGCCAAAAACACACACACACACACACACACACACACACACACACCAGCAACACCACACACATCACACACGAGAGAAGAGACAACTATTTCTCGACACACACACAAAAAAACACACGAGAGAGACAAACCCCAGTCTCACACACAACACACACACACACACACACACATACACACGCAGAGAGACAACAGCTCACACGACACAAGCCACAAGAGCACACAAGAAGAGAGACAATCAGCCTAGCCATTCAAAGCCAACACCGACACACAACACGAGCACACAACAAACAAGACGAGAAAACACAACAAGTCAACACAACAACACACACAACACATCACAGAAGAGAAACACACACACAATACACAGCCTCCAGCACAACACAGCACACACACACACAGAGCAGAAAACACAACACAGAGTCAACACAACACACACTCACACACACACACACACGAGAGAAACACAACACGATCACACTACACCACACAGAGCAGAGAGGAGAGAAAACACCAGCATCAACACGACGACTACACACAAGCACAACACACACACCAACACACGAGAGAAAACACAAAACAGTCCCCACAACCATCACAACACACACACAACAAGAAGCAACACAGCGAACAGACGACACACATCAGCAAAAAACGATGGAGAGAACCACAGACGAGAATGCACGAACACACACATCACACAACACCACCACACACCCAACCCACACACACCACCCACAACGAGATGAGCATATACAACTAAAACAAGGTAACGAGCACCAACAACACACACACACACACACACACACAACCGGAGACGACAGAAAACACAAAGCATTCACACACACACTACAACGCGAGAGGAGAAAAAACACAACAGATAACGTACCCCAACAGAAACGAGACACACACACACGACACAACATACAACACGAGCGCAACAGAGAAAACACAACAGTCACACACACACACACACACACGAGCGAAACACAAACAGGTCCTCACACACACACACACACACACACACGAGACAACGACCGATCGACCTACAGAGACAACGAAAGGTTAACCAGACAAAGGAGAACGACACAACACAGACGACAGAATCCCGGAGAGAACAGAATCACACACAAACCACAACGAAGGGAGAGCAGCGTAGAGACAGACATGAGAGTAGAACCAAGAGAAACCGAGCAAGAGAACGCTCCGAGCAGTAAGAGCCACAAAAAAAAACAATCTACAACACACGCTAGCAGACGAAGATGAAACACCTATCAAGGCGAGAGCAGATGAACAGCACACACAACACAACACCAACCTACACCGCGAGATGAGCGAGAACAGAAAGAAGACATAAACCAGAACATCGGTCGAGCAATATAAGCCACACGACACCACAGAACCACCTACACGAGCCATAC